ACACACACACACACACACACACATATATATATATATATATATATATTGTAAAGGGTTAAGAACTGAACCTCCAAACACTAGTGACAGGCAGGCAGGCGGCGCGCGTCACAGCGTCATGGGATGGCGAACCTGTACTGGCGAGCTCCTGTCTTCGCTGGATCTCGGGGCGTCCTGGCGTTATATTTAATTATACGAGTCGCGTTACAAGTTCCGTTCTAGCGCCGATAGAACGTGTCACCAATGAACATGTAATGGTTGCTATGCATTAAACCTATATTGTGACAACTAGTTCAAACAATTAAAGAGAATTTGCAAGCTGTTTTTCTCCAGGAATTTCATGTGATAATCACTCCTAGTGAAAGTGAGGTCAGATTGCCCCAGCTGTTCGAAGCGGGGTTTGACTTAATGACCATCAGGTGAGGTCAGGTCACAACAGCTGTCCCAAGTGGGCTCTGACTAATGACATTCAGGTGAGGTCAGGTCAAGATAGAAAATGGTGAGAGAAGAATTTAATGAGTGAATATTCGTGAAAAGAATAAAATCACAAACATGCTAAATTCGATACAATTGAAACAATATAATTCAATCACAAAAAAAAAAAAAAAATAGACACTTAATAAATGAACGATTTCATAATGTTTGGCTTCATACTCTTATCACACAGTAATGAGGTGTGAGGTCAAGAAAATGAGATGAGAGTATGCCATTGCGGTAATTAGCACTTTAACCCAACAAAAAACTAACGTGAGCATCGCTGTACACGGCTTAACACATTTAGGGCAAAATAGAAAGGAAATGAAAAGAGAAGGGGCCCAAAATGTGTACTCACAGTTTTTTTTTAAGAATGTCCTCTTGCGTTTGTTTGAAAGGCGAGCGGTTTTTCTTCTTCGGAGACTTCTTGGTTCGGGTGCGCGCCAAAAGGACGCAACTACCACCTCTGCCACCAGAATGTAAAGGGTTATATAGGAGACCTCTAAACATTGGTGACAGGATAGTAAAAGCTTGAGTGGCT